GGGATAGAGAGAGTCCTCAGTCAAGAGCAGGTGAGTTTTCATGCTGCGAAGCAACTTTTGAGAATATAGATTTTGGCTTTGTAGGAATTTTCTTAGAGATATGGAATTTTACTATGCACTTAAAAAACCCATATACTAGGTAGGTCATATCACTTATGGTGGAAGAAAAAGCTACTTCATCCCAGAACACCCTATTGTAAATTATAACCAACAGGCAATCCTGTCTTAATCAAATTTAACTTCCTGCAGTGACTTCTTTCCATTGATTCTAGTACCACCTATCAGAGCAGTGTAAGACTAGCCAGCCTATTTTCCCTTATCTTACCAGAACATCTTACTATCTTATCTAGCTGTTTGCCTTTTCAAGGTGTGTTTGTCAAATAGAAGTTTAAGGTTGAAAGTACAAGCTAACCAATGGATAAAAATCCAGAATTCCAAGGGAAAAATAAGCTATTTTGATGGAATCAGGACAGATTGTTTCTAAATCTTGGGGCAATGAGATAATGGAAAGTGAGTCATCTTGAAAGACACATATGTCCTAAAAACAGAATACATGATACAATATGATACTTGAAAATGGTACATTCTTAGACAGTGAAGCTTGCAGTAGTTATTTCATTTCAACAATGTCCTTTTTTAAAAGAAAATTATGGTCAAGGTAATGTGCAGAGGGGTTACTATATCCCTCTTGTTTGCAAACATAATCTGGTCCCATCTTAATGTCAGGTAATCTGATGATTTGGTCTTTCATTCTGGAAACATGTTCACAAGAAGAGGTCTTTTGCAAGAGTGTGATTGAAGTTTATCACAAGGATTTGAAGCCTGCTTGAGCACAGGAATAACTGGGAGTAGAATGACAGGAGCAGGAATAAAATGCTGGGCACATTCACACATTGCTAGTTCTTCATCAAAAACATTCTTAGATGGCATGGACTAGAGTGTTGAAGATTGATACACCATTTCTGCTTCTGAGTTGTGAGCACTTTGCATCCAAAATCATAGAGTCTGACATGAAAATGTGTCTGTCACATAAATTTGGCTCAGAACCTCAGCCAAATTTAAATAAAATATGAACACATACAAGTTTTCTTTTAAAGAGACCATTTCAGCCCAAATCCACAAAAAATAGTACATGAAACCTGGATCCATGAGAAATATATCTAGGAGTAGTCATGTTTTCCAATAATCAATAAAGGCTTTCCCCTATTATGTACTCTGTATGAAATGAGGAGGCAGAACCTCAAAATTCATTTTCAGATATTGTCGTGATGTTTTCCCTGGCTCTTCAGTTGCTTAATTTTGTTAGCATTTACCCTGTCCTCCACCTGCCCAGTTGAAGTTGTTTCCTTTTTCATAACCTGAAATGTTTTCTGGGTGGCTAATAAGACTAAATCTTCCCTGCGACTTCTATGCCTCTTAAGCAAATATATGCTCTAGCCTCATATGAGTGAACACTCATTCTGTCTAGACACTTCATTGTCTGAAAACAAATCAGGATCTTTGGCCATCTGATATGCCAGTATGATTCCACCGCAGAGAGGTGAGCTCCGGGACACAGATTTTTCTATAGGGTCCCCTTGTCTTACTACTTAGAGTTCATTTAGAGAAATTCCTTCTGCTTGGCAGATTGCTTCCTGAAAAGGTTCAAGTTCTGGCAGATCTGCCTGAAGCAGACCCATTAGATAGAAGGTTAAATAGAAGTTAAATCAAATGTTGAGACGTTCTGTGCTTAGGGAAACCAGTGGAGGGAATCTGTTGCCTCCACGTCTGTGATCTGTCTGTCTGAAATTGGGAGGGCTATATTATGGGACTGGGAGTGGAAACGAGAATTCTTTACCAGGAAGTGTATGGTGATGGTGATGCCTTGATTCTTTCGCTGAAGGTTACTGTTTGGCATGCAGTCTTCATTGCAACTCAATATTTCTTTGTCAACAGTATGGTCACTAGGGACTGATAGCTTGTGTTCAAAGTGCAATATTTTATGATTGTTTTCTTTCCATTGCCTTCTGGCAAAAAGAAAGCGTACTAAAAAGCTTGTCATATCCCAAGTGCCCTCGACTAGTCACACTGGTATTAGGTCATCCCTGGGGTGCTTCCTCCTCTTCCTAATCTCATCCCCAGATTTTAGTGTGTGTGTGTGTGTGTGTGTGTGTGTGTGTGTGTGTGTGTGACTCTCTGTCAGTCCATCCTGAAACTTGAACTCAAGTCTTTGGCACTGTCCCTGAACTTTTTTGCCCAGGGCTAGTGTTCCACCACTAGAGCCACTAGCGCCATGTTTTTTTTTTGCTTTTGGTGGTTTCTTGGAGATAAGCTTCACAAACGTCCTGCCTGGGATGGCTTCCAACCATGATCCTTATATCTTAGCCTCCTGAGTAGCTAGGATTATCAAATGGGAGTCACCAGTGCCTGGCCGTTCCCCTGCTTTTGAAGTTCTGTTCTTTCAGATTCCTATAGTTGCTCTACTACTACTAGTTCTGAGGAGCTCTAGGTCCCATCTCCTCTATCCTTGTCAACACCAGAGTGAGAAGATGAAAAGAGGCTGGAAATACCAGATCCTAATTTCCAGTTCCAGGCTGAGGTAGCTGTGACTAAAGGCAGCCTTTCTAAACCCCAGCAGCAGAAGAAACCTTACTTCCTCCAGCCATCTTTAAATCTTAACCAAGGCACCATCTTGACCATAAGTACAGCCTGCACTCTGAGAGAAAAGCCAGGCTGTTCCCACACAACCAACTCAGTATTTGGACTCTGGATTTGAGAAAGTCCCTGTGAAAAGGCAAGAGGGCTGTGTTCAGAAAAGTAATTGTGTGGGGTCCTAATGGGCCTTCAGCTTGACCTTATGACATGTTCTTTCTGTTTGCGGCAAACAAGGCAAACAGGCAGTGGCAGAGGTTTTGCCCTACGACACTCAAGCTGGACCTCTACTGTCTACTGTCCAGCTTGACAAGATGGAGGATGGAGGAGGAGGAGTCCGGCTTTGCCTAGAGCAGTTCAGTATGGTACACACCTGCCTTGTTCCTCAATCACCTGCCTCAATCTTAGACCAAAGGCTAACTGGGGTAAAACTCGGTAAACATGATTCAGTGTTTTCTTCAACTGAGTAAGACAAAGTAATGTACATACACATGGGATTTTTGTTTGTTTTTGTAGGGGCCAGAGACTGATTGCTCACTTAATATTTTTCATCTACCTTGGTAATTGGAACAAATTTCTGTACCAATTTCGGTTTCTTTGCTCACCACCTGCACATCAAGGATTCACACCCATTACCCAATGTAGAGCCCCTGCAGTGGACACTCAGAAAGATTCTAGCATGTCTGGCAATCTTAAAGCTGGAGAAGGAGAAGGCAAACAAATGCTAAGTGTAGAATGAGGCCTAAAGAGAACAGCATTTTATAATTATTTAGCATGGAGTGCCTGCATTATGTACAGCTAAATTTTTTCATCTAAGTATGATGATTTATATACACTAAAATTGACGCTTATCAAACCAATTAGTATAAGTATATTCACATTCTATGCTTGTCACAATGCATCAACCCCAATTCTACTAAGCATCATAACATGAAAATTTTCATTTCGGCACTACTATATTTGAATATAAACATTACATTAGTAGCTAATTTAAGCATAGTAAAAAAAAATCTCAAAGGTTCCCAGCTGGATTTTGTGTAAGTCCTGTTTCTCAATTCCTGTGCTATCTGGGTTTTTACTATGTTTTACCCTAAAATAACTAAATCTTCAGGCTTCAGGATTTTTCAACTCTAGGATTTTACTGTTCCGTTTGGAAGCTGAACTTGGCCTGAGCATCTTCATCTGTAAGGAGAGCCAAACGAAGTTATCAGTAAGGTCCCTTCAGCCATGAATTTCGCATTGACTCATCCATTGTAGAACATGATGAAAATAATAGTTCTTTTGTTGTTCTCTTGGGGCAGTTACTGCTGCTGGGAATCGCTGGGCAGATGCAGGGATCACATGGAATGTGGGGAAGAATGATTGAATCATGGCTAGTTGTGAGCGAGAAGATGGCCTTTTGCCAGATGTTCTGAGGAGAAACAAGCTTGGAAAACGTTAAGTATGGGAGAAACATAAAAGTGCAAAACAGATCAATGCTTAAAGCACTTGTGCTGTGCACACTCGCAGAGCAAAAACTAGTTAGGAGAGCAGAGTTGCTGGCTGGACCACCCTACAAAGCGTGGGGCTTGGAGTCCAAGGAAGTTTGATTGCTAAACTTGAAGCGGAGCGCCAGAACTTAGTGGGGAAGGCTGGCCCTCACCTGCGCAGGCAGGGCCTGGGGACGCGCGCGGGGAGGGCCCTGGAGATCAGTGCCACCTTCCAACCTGGATCCAACTCAGTGGGTTTGCAACCTCGGTGGTCCCCGAGGCGGGTGCGGAGAGGGAGCGGGGGAGAGGGGGGGGGCTGGACGGTGCAGGGACCTGCTGGCTCAGCTCTCATAACTTTGGGGCTCTAGAGTCTGCAAGGGAGTGGCAGCCGGGGTGGGCGTGCATGCGTGCGGTGGCCAAGGAACCACAGGTGAAGCCAACTCAGTGTTGGCCCATCCCTCCCTGCCCATTTATTCCTCTTGGCCGCCACCGCAGCTGAGGACTCCGCTGGCCCTGCTCAGCGGGCGTATCCTGGAACCAGCACGCATCCCTCGGCCGCCACCTGCGGGGCCCCGCGGGCGGAGCGCGGGCCGAGCGCGCGGGGCGCGAACCCGCGAGGAGCGCGCGGCTGGCACGGCGGCGGCGGCGGCGGCAGAAGCAGAAGGAGGGGCCGGGAGCGCGGCCGAAGGACGCCCCGTCCTCCACGCGCGGTCACCGGGCACTGCGGCGCCGCTGCCCCGCCTGCACCCCAGCTGCCCGGCCTGTCGCCAGTAAGACCTTTCCCCGAGCAGCGCCCGCTCCGGGGGTTCGGGGACGGTCCCCGGCCGCCGAGCCCGCCCGCCGGACGCCGCCTCGGCCCCCGCGGCGTCCAGGCCGGCGATGGATGGCGCGCGTGGTGTAAGTGGACATCGGCGAGGCAGGCTACCCGGGCGTGGGGCTCTCAGTCCCTGCTCATCAGCTGTGCCCTTTTGATTTTTCCACCCGGAGAAGCCCATGAGTTTCCAGGGGACTTTAATGAAAGCCTAATATTTCTGGGCCAGCTGTCTCGGTGACAGCCTCCCATCTCGGTCCCCTGCTCTGAGGAGAGTGAGCTTCGCCCCTTCCATTTTGTTCTCCTCCTCGTCAGGAGCTGCGGGCTCGCCCTCCTTCCCACCTGAAGAGTGAATGAAGACTTTCAGGTAAAGGCTTTGCCCGTGAGCATTTCATGCGTATGCCAAGCTGTCAGGCTCATGCTCTTAAAGTGGCACATGATGAGCTAAGTACTAGTTCTTGTACTCTTCGGAGCTGTGGGCGGCTGAATGTTGGGGGGAAGGGGAATAATGCAAATGAATCCCTCTGCAGTAGAGAAGCACCCCCCCCCCCCCCCCCCCCCGTCAAAGCAGAACCATTTGGGGTTGTTTCTTGTGTTTCTAGTCTGATCTCTGCCCCACATCCTTGATGGAAGTAGGTTAACAGAATTATCCACTAGTAAATACTCGGGTCAAAACTCCTTTTTAAGGATTTGGTGTATACGATATTATTTATCATCGGGAAATGTTTAGATATGAAGTCACAGGAGAAAAGAACTTTTATTATGACAAAAGTATAAATCAAACCAGGATCAACAGTTAGACATTCCTTTCTCCCCTTTTAGTTTTTATACCTGAAATAGTTGTCATATAGAGATGGGAAATATCATAATTGAGCTATAGCAGGATGGAACGGAAAATAGTAAGGAATTTGTTTTGCCGTAAGCAAAAATCATATGTGTAAAGCAAAGGGGTCTGCGCATTGTGCGCCTTCCAGTCCAGTCCAGTCCAGGGCCACAGTTCAGTTGTCTGCCAGTGACAGGAAGTTCGCTAAGTTTGAGCCATCTATCTTTCTTGTGTGTTATTAGCAAGGCCTTGTTTACACGGAAGACAATTGCTTCCTTGAACCTGTTTCTTGTGACTTCTACTTCTGTCAATAACCTTTTATTTATATGCAGAATTTTTCTAAGAATTATTCTGAGAATACTTCTATCAGTCTAGGAAAAGCTCATAATCAAAAAGTAGTTAAATGAAATGTCTCTGGCAATACAAAATAAGGATTTCGATCTATTTGATAGCCTTTCAGACTGCTTATCTGTAGTACAGTATCTGCCCAAGGGGGTGTGAAGACAAAATAAATAAAAAATACATGTAGGTGCCAGATTCAGTAAATATTATCTTTATTAATCATTTTGTCTCTACATCCTTACCTAAGACCCTTCTTTGTGCTGAAGATCTTTAGCCCCAAGTTAAAATCAGTAAACCATGCAAATCTTGAAGAGTATAATAAATTCTACCTTCAAATAGAATTTATTGTGCTGAAAAGGTAAATTTTTTTAAAATTGTGTAACTGAGCCAAAACATTTTTTCTTTCATCATGCACTGATTTAAAAATCTTCTTTGGTTTCTACTTTGTTAGGCATAGTGGTGTTTTGTTTTGTTTTGTTTTTGTAGAGAAGTAAGTAGTACCAGAGGACGGAGTCAGAACTTCAAATTTTCTAGGCATTTGAGCCATGCCTCAAGCCTTGATTAGGTATATTTTAGTAGTAACTCTCACATTCATCATGTTAATCCAATATATTTAATAAATTTATCCATTCAAGTCACTGATAATACATGGGAAAAGTCACTTTGCTATGGATTTTGGGGGGAAATTTGGGTTTTATTGTATTTTTATTGTAATTGATACATAGTAATTATACCTATTTATGGGGGTAGTATGGCACATATATGTATATTCATACATATAATGAAATATATGATATGATCTATAATAAGTATATGTATAGTTGTAGTAGCCAGATAAGGGTAGTTAGCACTTTATCATGTCTTTGTGTCAGGAATATTCAAAACCTCTGGCGAACCACCGTTCTAGTCTTCTGCTATGAAGGATTTCTGAAGCTCTATCTAAAAGTTTGGTCCTGACATCTGCTAGCTTCTTGACTTCAGAAACATCTTTCATCTAATCTAAATTCAAAGTACTGAAAGGCCAAATATAATTGTGGTTGGAAATCTAGTTGGTCTTCAGTAGGTATTGCTCAAATTAAGGGATTAGGTGAACTCAGCACTGATTTATGTTACACTGTTCCAGTCCATAGAAAATAGTCTTCTCATGAGAACCATCTTATGTTGTTGGGGGTCGTGGGGCTTGAACTCAGGTACTGGGCATTGTCCTGGAGCTTTTTCACTCAAGGCTAGCATTCTACCACTTTGAGCTACAGCTCCACTCCTGGTTTTCTTGTGGTAGTTGGAGATAAGAGTCTCACTGACTTACTGCCCTGCCTGGCTTGGAACCCTGATCCTCAGATCTCAACCTCCTGAGCAGCTAGGAAAGATTACAGGCATGAGCCATCAGCACCTACTTTACGAGAACAATCTTAATCAAAATCAAAAGACCTTGAGGATTCTCTAATTTATCTCAGAAGTGACTTTAGTTGAAAAATGAATGATTCTTCAATTGCTAATTCCTAGAAATTTCCAGTCATTTTGCCCTCTATGTGTTGTGTGTTCAAGTCCTGACTTTTGCCCTATGGTAACCAACTGACCTGTAATACTTAGGAATTCTAATACTTTTCTTTAATTTTAAGAGTTCAAGGGAGAACGTTGATGTGAGATGTTAACTTCTTGCTACTTCCTTCCACCAGGTTTTCTGGGTTCTCAAAAAATTCCTGTAGTCATACATGCAGTTCTTTTGGGACCCTAGAGCCTGATTCATCTAGCTGTGAGGTGTGCTCAGTTCTCTTTTTATGATGTTTCTATCCTTCCAGCTTGAAGCTCATTTGCTGTAAGTCAGCAGAACAGCTGCTGAGCAGTTCTGTTTTCTTTAATTAGTAAATATAGCATCTGCCTTTGGATCTGGGAATTCTTTAACTGGAGCCTGTTTTCCATAGCCAGTGTTCAATGAACAATACATGCACAAAGTTGGGGAATGACATTATAATATTGACAGGGCAGGAATGTGTAACTCAAGTCAGAATTTGGTATGAATAGAGCCTTGTGTTTTAGTAATTCCTTAAAAATTAAGAGTTGTAGGTGGCACGGGTGGCTAGAGCCTGTAATCACAACTACTCAGAAAGAAGACTTACATCTGGAGAGTCATAGTTTCAGGTCAGGCTCAGCAGACTCAAACTCCAAAATAACCAGCAAAATCCTTGGCTGGAGGTATGGCTCAAGTGGCAGATTGTCAGCCTAGCAAGTAAGCTGAGTTAAGAGTGTGATGCTCAGAACAAGCAATTATTCATTGAGTTGTGAAGCTAAACAAGGTTTACAAGGAGCTGAAGGAAACAGATTAGTGACTGGGCATGATAGAGACCTGGAAACCTGAAGGCCCAGCTCAGAGGAATACTAACCTACAACACCGTAACCCCTGCCCTCAAGCCTTTCTTCTTGAGCACCTAGAACAGGGGAGAACAACAAGAAGTTCTCTCTTTGATTCTAAGTGTCTACCACACTGCAGGCAGGCACATGGATATTTGGCAAATCATCAAACTTTACATAAGTGCCTTGATGTAGAGAACTGTTGTTTGCACGAAGGGGAAAAATGACTTTTGCCCATAAGTAATATTTAGTCTCATTGGAGAGATAACATTTGTAAATTTCAGTTAGAGGATTCTGAAAAAGGGTGAGAGGAATTCTGGGAAGTCTGAATGGAAGTGAACGTCTCATGAAGCTAGTACTTTCGTTTAAGTAGGGAGGAGGGGGAAAGTTTCTAGAAGGAGATACAGGGAAGGGTCCTGATTTAGGAAGGAATAGAAGAGGAGCTGGGTATGCAGTGGCAAGGAAACTGGCTTGATGGGAATGGAAATTTCCTTGAATTACTGACTTCCCACCTTCTAAAGTACTTTACTCCCCACCACAAACAGCAGGAAATCCAATAGCTTCTTGGGAAAAGGGATGTAGGAGATATATAGCCTGAAGAGTGATTGTAAATGGCACACTTTCTGATTTTTTGTTCTTTTATCTAGAGTCCAACTGCAATTGAACACTGTGTTCTCTGATGTCTCCACATCAGAGCAGTGCTTCTTTTCAGTGTTTAAAATTAAATATACTGCTGCCTGGAATTTAATCAGTGCATAGCACTTAATACTCTTTCATTATTTATGCCTCCTACTTGTTCTGAAGTATTTGAATTGGTTTCAATACATACAGACTAAAATTTATAGGGGAGAAAAAAAAAGCTCTTTTTGTATCCTCCTAGATTTGGTGACTAGGGCCTGAGAATCAAACTGATGAAAGACAGATATGATGAGAAAAGAGGTTCAATTACATATGGATTGGCAAGAGCTCAAAGAGGAATTTGAGGCTTATCATAATGGGCAAAAAGTGTATAGAGAGAGTCTACATTGTATTTTCTTTACTAGTTGTTTAGAAGCTACTTATTTTACAATGACAGAGAAGTTGCTGTAGTTGCAATATTTGTCCTCATAAACAAGAGTGGCCAGGTGAAACCCATGGTAGCCATAGGAAAGCCCAGAAAGACTGAGAGAAATGCCTGCTTGTTTCCTCCCCACTGGGGGGGACCTGAAAAATGAGATCAAGTATTCACCTGTGACCTAAAGTATGTATCACCTTCTTTGACCTTGAACTCTTACATGGCTACTGACATTCATAGGTCAGACTTCTTTCTATAATTTAAGTTTTAAGATATAAATCAAGCATTTAAAATAATAATGGTAGTAGGTTAAAGGAACACTCTGAAATAACAAAATACTGAAATAAGGATACAGGGTGACCCATTGTAACAATGAGATGTGCAAGACACTGTTGAAAACAAACTTTAGAACTTGGGGGTGGGGAGGAGTTGAGGAGGTGGGGAGGAAAAGGATGGTAGGGGAAAAACAGAGGAGGTAACAATGCTCAATAGGAAATGTACTCATTACCTTACTCATGGAACTGTAACCCCTTTGTACACTATTCTTACAATAAAAATATGTAAAAAATAAAAAGAAACAATGTGAAAAAGGAAAAGAAAGTAACACACCTCTGCTCAAGGCAGATCCTTTATACATAGGACCACACTTAAACTTTTTTTTTAATTTTACTTTTTGTAAAGATGCTGTACAGAGGGGTTACGGTTACATGAGTAAGGCAATGAGTACATTTCTTGTAGAGCACTGTTAACCTTTCCTTTGTTGTTCTCCCACTATTCCTTCCCTCCCCAACCTCCCTCA